TCTAATGGTCTCTCTCACTAATCTTTTCATGTCGTTGTTTTCTTTTTCTACAATCTTTACGTCTCCCCAGGCTGGAGTGCAGTCGGCACATTCATTCAAATGTTTAGCTATTTCCGAATTCGTATCATTGTTTTTTACATTTCTTTTATGTTCCGATAATCTGTCATTCACACATCTTTTGGTTTGACCTACATAAATGACACCACATTTCATTGGTATCTCGTACACTACACCGATCGCGCATACTGTAGACTTCTCTCTGTGCGCCCTTTTACACTGGTTGGGTGTTCTCAAAAATGGGGTCAACCGGTCCAATCTGAAATCCCTCTCAAAAACTACGTCGGCGCCGAACTTCTTTGCGCACGCCTTTAAGTAGTGTGAGATGTCATGGTATTACGGGATAACCGCCCAACGACCCCGCCGGGGCTCTAGACTTCCTTTATTTCCCGAAACTATCTTTTTTATCTGTCCAATTATGCTATCACCCGAAAACCCAGCATTCCTCAGTCGACACATCTGCTTCTCCACTGCCTTACTAACGTAGTGTGTGCAAGATCGGTTTAAGGCATTGCCTAATAATGATCTAATAATGCCGCAGTTAACTGTCCTGGAGTGGCAACTCGAGCGCGGCAGGATAGGATTCGGCATGAGTTTTCCGTACTCCCAGCATATACCATTTTTCACGTGAATCTGCAAATCCAGAAACTGCAAGCTCCCAGCTTTCTCTCTTTCTAGCGTAAATTCCAATTCTGGTGCGGACTTCCTGACTATTCTTTCCAAATCTCTTCCCAGCTTTTCTTCTGCCGTACACACTAAAATATCATCGACGTAACGTCGGACAAAACCTACGTTCTCTGGCGTTCCTCCTAGAAAACTCAACACACTGGAATCTAGACTGTTTAAATAAATCTCCGACAGAATCGGCGCCACCGCTGACCCGATACATACCCCCTCTTTTTGAATATATTTTCGTCCACTGTACTCAACCACTGTTGATTGCAAGTAATACTCTAAAATACGTAAAAAACTGTCAACCGAAATTCCTGCTCCAGACTGAAATCTTACAAGATTTAGCTCCAGGTGGTCTTTGACCCGTTCCATCAGGAGATTTTTCTCCAAGGAATAGTATAAGTTTTTTATGTCCATTGAAAAAACAAACCGACGCTCATGGTGATGTTCCCCCAAAATTTCGATTAGTTCCGCAGTGTTCCTGAGCGATAACGCGTTCGCCAACGGCACAAAAGAAAACCCCTTCTGGATGAACCCCGATACAACTTTCTGCCACGTTCCATTTTCATTGATTACAGCACGTAATGGCATTTCCGGCTTGTGATCCTTCAGAAAAAATTTGATGCCCAATTCTGAACGCTGTGCGCCTCTGATTCTAGTGACTAATTGGTCGAATTCATACTCCTTAAGTTCTTTGCAAATACCTCCCCTCAGTCGTGTCAAGTTTTTGTCAGATTCATTAAATAGGCCTCTCATGGTGCACTCCGCCTTCTCTCTAAACATTTGAAACGGAAGCACAGCAAAACTTCCCGACTTATCCGTTTGCAACAACTGTAAAGATTTTTCTTAATTGGCAACATCCGAGTTGTGTGTGACCAGTTGTGGGGCAACGTCCTGGGACAGGACTTCAGAAAGGCGAAGGACTACAAAGATTGGACTGGACTCAGGCGGATTGACTTCGAGAGACTCTGGTACGTGAAAAGAAGGCTTGTACTTGAAGGCATAGGTGCACGCAAATCGAACACGGGATTCGCCCCCAAGAAGAGCAACATTGGCCAGGGCAGCGCAGCGGAACATGGGATTGTCAATCCATGTGAGGCTGTGTTATCGGAACGTGCAAAAACGCTGTTGATGAAGGGTCCTAAGTTTTGTGTCAATGTCAAGCCATCGCGCCTTGATGTTTTTTCGAATATCCAGACGGTCTCCAGGGCGATTGATGTTGATGAAAGACCTGCTTTTGTTGATCAGGCACTTGACCGGATGGAAAACCTAATGAAAGACGATTATCCAATTGAAAAGAGAAACTTTCGGGAGGTCCGGGTGGTTGAGAAAGAGTTGAAAGAAAAATCTTTACAGTTGTTGCAAACGGATAAGTCGGGAAGTTTTGCTGTGCTTCCGTTTCAAATGTTTAGAGAGAAGGCGGAGTGCACCATGAGAGGCCTATTTAATGAATCTGACAAAAACTTGACACGACTGAGGGGAGGTATTTGCAAAGAACTTAAGGAGTATGAATTCGACCAATTAGTCACTAGAATCAGAGGCGCACAGCGTTCAGAATTGGGCATCAAATTTTTTCTGAAGGATCACAAGCCGGAAATGCCATTACGTGCTGTAATCAATGAAAATGGAACGTGGCAGAAAGTTGTATCGGGGTTCATCCAGAAGGGGTTTTCTTTTGTGCCGTTGGCGAACGCGTTATCGCTCAGGAACACTGCGGAACTAATCGAAATTTTGGGGGAACATCACCATGAGCGTCGGTTTGTTTTTTCAATGGACATAAAAAACTTATACTATTCCTTGGAGAAAAATCTCCTGATGGAACGGGTCAAAGACCACCTGGAGCTAAATCTTGTAAGATTTCAGTCTGGAGCAGGAATTTCGGTTGACAGTTTTTTACGTATTTTAGAGTATTACTTGCAATCAACAGTGGTTGAGTACAGTGGACGAAAATATATTCAAAAAGAGGGGGTATGTATCGGGTCAGCGGTGGCGCCGATTCTGTCGGAGATTTATTTAAACAGTCTAGATTCCAGTGTGTTGAGTTTTCTAGGAGGAACGCCAGAGAACGTAGGTTTTGTCCGACGTTACGTCGATGATATTTTAGTGTGTACGGCAGAAGAAAAGCTGGGAAGAGATTTGGAAAGAATAGTCAGGAAGTCCGCACCAGAATTGGAATTTACGCTAGAAAGAGAGAAAGCTGGGAGCTTGCAGTTTCTGGATTTGCAGATTCACGTGAAAAATGGTATATGCTGGGAGTACGGAAAACTCATGCCGAAACCTATCCTGCCGCGCTCGAGTTGCCACTCCAGGACAGTTAAATGCGGCATTATTAGATCATTATTAGGCAATGCCTTAAACCGATCTTGCACACACTACGTTAGTAAGGCAGTGGAGAAGCAGATGTGTCGACTGAGGAATGCTGGGTTTTCGGGTGATAGCATAATTGGACAGATAAAAAAGATAGTTTCGGGAAATAAAGGAAGTCTAGAGCCCCGGCGGGGTCGTTGGGCGGTTATCCCGTACCACCATGACATCTCACACAACTTAAAGGCGTGCGCAAAGAAGTTCGGCGCCGACGTAGTTTTTGAGAGGGATTTCAGATTGGACCGGTTGACCCCATTTTTGAGAACACCCAACCAGTGTAAAAGGGCGCACAGAGAGAAGTCTACAGTATGCGCGATCGGTGTAGTGTACGAGATACCAATGAAATGTGGTGTCATTTATGTAGGTCAAACCAAAAGATGTGTGAATGACAGATTATCGGAACATAAAAGAAATGTAAAAAACAATGATACGAATTCGGAAATAGCTAAACATTTGAATGAATGTGCCGACTGCACTCCAGCCTGGGGAGACGTAAAGATTGTAGAAAAAGAAAACAACGACATGAAAAGATTAGTGAGAGAGACCATTAGAATAAAGACGTCTCCCGAATGCATCAGTCACACGTCCGTCCACTTAAGTTCGGAAGCCGAAAAATTTTTGCGGCTGACTGGTTTGAGAGAACCGGGATGACCTCGGGGTTTCACGGTGTGTGTGGGGGGATAAGGGTTCTGTCGGCGTCTTTGCGACTGTGTTTGGGAGAGCCGGAGTGACCTCGGGATGTCGCGGTGTGGGCTGTTGACACGGGATCTGTCGGCAACTTGGAGTTGGCGCCATCAAAATTGTTTTTGACTGGAATGTACGGGGGCTTGGGAAAAGGAAGAGGGAAGGGGTGGAGTTTTGGGAAAAGGAAGGGAAAAAGAGCGGGACGAGGGTGGCGAGTGACATATATGTTTGTCCTGTGAAATAAAGTTTGTAGCTGCGTTTGAGACTTCGTCCCTGTCGTTCTGTGTTTTGTCCCTTGTCCGTATCCCCAGTCTCGGGTTACAACTATGCTCATTTTTAATATTTCATTGATTACATTTTATTCGGTGTTTCGCTATTTCATTCTACCTCCTGGATTAATAGGTGCCCATGGCCTCACGTGTCAGATATCCCTCGCGATAGACTGATTGAAGAGCGTTGTTTTTAAAGTGTGGCATGGCTCTTGGCCGTTGCGCAAATATATCTCTCATATGCCTCACTGAACTGATAAGGGAGTCCCTGAACTAGATGGATCCCATGTAGCAGACAGGCGAAGACCGCTCTTTGAGATAAATGTCGTTTGAAGTTGAGAACCCAGACGGACACGCAACTCTCCGGTTCCAGCTTGAGTCACCACCAGCTTGATACACATCGCGGGGCGAGTTTCAAGCATAATATTATCCCAGCTAACGAGTGCAAAATTAGCCGATGAGGGCGCCAAAAAAGAAATTATAAATCAAAAAGCTTTGAGATAATATTTATGTATTTATTTATTTATTCACAATACCTTAAAGGCCCATTAAGGGCATTCCATAAGGTGGGACATTTAAACAGATACAAAAATAAAGAACACAACAAATAAGAATAATAGACAAAACTAATGTGCATGTGTGCCACTAAATTTTACACATAAAAGACAGTTGAGATTTACATAATAAATATATAATTTAATATATTACAAACAACGCAAATAATATATCATAGTAAACGAAGTAAGTGTATTTAGCGAGAGAAACAGAGTAGATAGAAGAAAAAAAAAAACAGGATAAGTTTCTCCCGAAACAGTGTGGTGTCAGTAATGGTGACAATGTATTCGGGAAGGTTGTTCAATGTACGGATGCTTCGTGGTACTGCTGAATCGATAGAAATATACAAAACTATACTCACGAACTCAAACGAGCTCTTTTTCCAAAAATAACGACAGATTGTGAAGCAACGTAAGGAGTTTATTGAACGGCCATCGCAAGGACGGTAAACGCGCCTCCGCACATTTGGGGTGGCATAGCAGCGTTGGTTTCTTCTAGTTGTGGTAGCATGTGCACGTCTGCTTGATAAATCCCGCGCAGTAACCTCCGCGACGTCCGATGCTCTGGCAGTGCCTGTGACACGCCCCTTGGTCGAAGGGACATCCAAAACCACGTCCTGAAGAGACACGTTTATATCGAATTAGCACAAATATTACATTTTAGAAAGCTCGCACATGTATATTGAACGAGATGCATAAAACTTTAATCATTCGCATCCGCTTAATCAGTCTTGGCAATACAAACAGCAATTGGTGTCGCCTCTCATAGAAATATTTCTATAAGAATGAACACGAGGAAAATGAAGTGCGCTTCTGTGCAAAATGAACCATTGAGCGTGATCTCTACCTTCCTCTTCGACGATGAGCCACGTAACGTCCAATTACCTCAAAATCCAAAGGGATAAGTAAGAAACAAAAACTTGGAAAATAATGTCATTTTGCAATCCACTCGAAACTTGAACAAAATCAAATAACGCTTTTTATAGGTAACTAAAAAAATCAAACTTCTTTTGTTATAGTGTGACGGGGATTGCTGAAATGAGAAGTTGTTAATAAAGCTATACTTAACATTTACAGTAATTCCTTTTCCGCATTGTTATCAGTGATCCAAAGGATGTTTAAACAATCTGCCACGTTAAAAAAAATCTAGTGGTAAAGAATCACTATTTTCTAACTACAATGATTTAAATCAAATAAACACGATATAAATAAAATAAACCTGATTTAAAATAAACATAATCTTTTTGACTAAACTTTTTTTTCTACCCTGGATTAAAAATTTAATGACAAAAAAATCTTTAATCTTTTTGCCATGTTTGCCTATCGCTGCGCGCTGCTCCCTCACAATTCTGAGAGGCTACCGACCTGAACCAACACCAACTAGAATAATCAAAGCTTGCACACGAGAATTTCGACGTCATCGCGGTGAGATCGAGCGAAGATAATTGGACACGAGCGCTGCGTTATCGCTCGGTTGGGTCTCGAGTCCAATCAACGCGCTGAAGTACGCTCGGCTTAGGGCTCGAGTCCAATGGCCGAGTTTGCGCCATCCGGCTGTGATGACGTTCCATGGATAAAGTATCGGGCGTTCGGAGGCCTTCGTGGTTCAGTAGTGTGTTGCATGAGCACTTTTTAGTTCTCTTATGAAGATGCGATCAAGCCCAGAAGTGCGGCCCAAGTAACAGTTCATAAATACTTGAGATATATGTAATAATACGTTGTGCATAAATACTAAAAAAACGTACACTTGTGCTACTACAGAACTAGATTCATGATTCAGCATATTCACATAATGACTGTGATATAGAAGCGGCCTTTTTTTCTTTTTGTTTGATATTGTCAAGACGTACTATACTTGTAAAATGATAACTGGCTTAATTTGATATGACGATTCACCAAATCGCTTTGAGAAAATCGAGAAAGCTATATGAACACAAATAAAATGGCGAAAATATTGTGTCATGCGGCGTATCGGACATTCGGATGACGCGCAGACTGGGAAGCTCTTTTGCTTAAACTTCCACAAATGTCCTTCATTTGATTCAGTTCAAATATATTCGGCGATGAAGAAAGGACGAAAACTTTCTGGTTTGAAGTGTTTCCGTCACTGTTGTTGGCTCCTTGAGTAGCTCTGAACGTTTGGAAATCGAACCTGCGTGGGCTCATGCGCGCACACTTTGAAGGTGAATCCTTTAAAGTCCTTAACCTGACTGCTAAATGCTGACGCTGCGGCAAATTGGTTGGATGCTATCTGATTTTGGTGTGCGGAGAAACGTAAATCATTCCAATAATAGATTTCTGCTTGCGGCCAGCTTTGTCTACTTGGATTTGAAAGGCTTTCTGAACAACCCTAGTAGCGGTCTGTGTGGTTGCGTTCCGCGCATGCTGAGAGCGACATAGCACATGGGCGGAACATCTGCGGAATATTAATATCCAGGCATAAGCACGGAAAATTGATTCGGTATTCTTTGTCTCGGTGGTAAGCACCCAAAAAGATTTCTGAGGTTACGATGCTACATAGAATAGCGCATAACGAGTGTTGTTTTACACTCAGTAGAAAATTCTGGAGCTTGGTTTGATGGAAATACTTGCAACAACATTGCAAAACAAACTATTAGCCCCTTCTGGCCTAAAAATAATTCTACTTTTCTGAATGTTTTTACATGTACAAATATTTGGGGCAGTGTAACTTACGAACTCGAACGTGAGCCACTTGGTTTTCTTCCTCTTGTGCGCTGGAAGTCATAAACGCTCCTGAAAAAGTTAGAAACATGCGGGACATTAGTTCATAGGGTTCATAACTCAGAGCTCAAAAAGCAGCTTCCCAGTTAACAGTTTAAGAGTTTAATGAATAATTACCGAAAATTCACTCACCAGCAACCAGAAGGGCGATCAAGGTAACAGCAATGACCCTCATGATTTCAAGGTTGATGATGCAGTGTTCTACTTGACCTGTGTTCTGCCTCGTCAAAAAAAAAATATTGATGATTGTTTAAATCGCCCTAATGATAACACAAAAAACTCCTAAAATGCGCATGATTAAACTGCTAGCTGATAATTAAAAAAACTATGTATCTATTTTTAATTATATATATAAATTTATATAAAATATAATTAAATATATATAATTTTATCTGGTAAAGAGCATCGCTTGACTAAAACTTAAACCAACTGAGATACATATCTCTGCTTTTATAGAGCGCGCGATAATGTTTGATAAATGGGATATTTAGATACGAAACCAAAAAGAAGGCATTCGCAAATTGCGTATTTGATAAATAGGGCACTTTTTTATATAAACAAAAGAAATCGCTCATTCAGCGGTTAAGTTTACAAAGATTGTGTTACCTTCGCAGTGTGCCGGGGCGAAAAAGCTTGTAGGCGCTCCAAGCGTTAGTGCGCTTTTTATACCCGTAGCTGTGTTCGAAGGTATGCGGAGCGTTGCCAGTAGCCGAACCTGGGGTTTCCCATGTAACAGATATGTTGAAGGTATCACGCGTCCAGGCAGATAAGACCTTCCACGCAACAATTTCTACTTACTCGGAATTCCCCAGTCGTTGACAGATGGTTGACTAGATTAAGGCACTATCTCGTCCGGCGCGATTATTTTATACCCAGGTAAGCAGCACGAGGGCTGAAAGTATACTCCTATACTTAGCTTCACGTGAAGTCCTGAAGCAGCCCACGTGACGAGCTGATGGGACCAAAAAGACAACGTGAAAAGCACAGAAGCAGCATGGTGTTTTCCATGTTTCTCTACGTATTTTATCATCGCTGAATCAATCACGAACAACATAGGCACAGTGGCTTGTGCTTTTGACGCTTCTTCATTGGTGGTTTTAGTTCGAAGCGTCAGCTGCATCTGGCCGTAAGCTGGAACAAAGTATAGATTCACGTTGCAAGCACACCGAGCTTATATTGACTGCAGCTACCGTTGCTATGCTTCCTATCGCCTACCATCGCAAAAGATGCCCCCCGCTCGCCCCTCCGGCTCGCTTCCCGTCGTTGAACGCACCACCGTTTTAATGCGAGGCCTGCAATGGTAACTGCTGTGTATAATACGCAATACGCATATTTCGCAGCAGATCGTCTAATGGCGCTCCACCATCCTCTATGGAACAAATTTTCGAAAGGACAATCTTGATGGTGCTTCAAACGACGTTTGGCGGACTGAAAGGGTGAGGGGGTACCACTTCGGCGGGAATTCCAAAAACTCAGCTAATCTACTAACGCTGACCTGGAAAAATGGCCTCATGCAACCATGTAGTTATTTTAATGTATGCTAGAGGTTCAGATAGCGCTGGCGTGCTGTTGTAAATTGTTGCAAGAGCGACCTGTCCAAAATTAATTTCCTGTAATGCATTCCTATGGGGTAACTCGGGTGCAGTTTTTGTTTTGTTTTCTGCGCTTGATAATAAGAGCCAATATTACGAATTCTGGTGTAATAAATAGGTTGAAACAATACTGTATCGCGCTAATGAAAATATTGCCCAGTTACAACGGTGTTGTTCCTCTTGTGGCAATAAACGCTGTGCTCAATAGCTTATCATAAGTGTTTATGTGCAGTGCTGAACACTGTTTGCGCGAGCACGGCTTCGAGGATGCAATGTGTGCACCTCCTGTAGTGGGCGAGAGTTTCTACGTTGGGGACGAGCGGGAACCAGCCCTTCCGTCGAATGGGTCAAGTCTCCGTGAGCTTTTGGGCACAAAGAAACGCCAGTTTTCGGCGCTAATCCCGCATCCACTCGGCCTCTCTTGCGTAGGGCCTGTTCGCTCCCCGCGCTTCGTAGCAGTGTTGTTGCTCGGGACACGTTTTTGGGGTTTCGGACTCTCCAACTCATTCTCTTCGCCCTCCCCCCTTTTCCTATACCACAGGCTTCCCCCTCTTTGCAAATATCAGCTGATCTTCCAAGACCTTATCTCTTTTCTGCAGGAATGTTTGTTGGCAGGTAAGACAACCACTAAATTTAGAAAGTAACTTGTAAATTGAGTAGAAGTTAGTCGGAAAAGTAATTAAAGTAAACTACTAATTATCGAAATAAAAAAATGAAAGCCGCTTACAACTCCCTGTAACGCCGAATTAGAGCGCAGCTCTTGAGGAGGAGGAGGGAAGGGCACCGGGGGGGGGGGGGTTAAACTAACCAGGGGGGGTCACGTTACCTTGGGGGTCACGTGACCCCCAATGCCGATGATGTCATCACTGACGTCACTGATGACGTCATCAGTGACGATGACGATGCGGGTACCGATGACGTCATTAGTGACGTCACTGATGACTTCACCAGTGATGATGAAGATGACGATGCAAATGTCGGTGACGTCATCAGTGACGTCGCTGATGACGTCATCAGTGATGATGACGATGACGATGCGGATGCCGGTGACGACATCAGTGACGTCACTGATGACGTCATCAGTGATGATGACGATGACAATGCGGATGTCGGTGACGTCATCAGTGATCATGACGATGACGATGTGGATGCCGGTGACGTCATCAGTGATGATGACGATGACGATGTGGATGCCGGTGACGTCATCAGTGAGGATGACGATGACGATGTGGATGCCGGTGACGTCATCAGTGATGATGACGATGACGATGCGGATGCCGGTGACGTCATCAGTGATGATGACGATGACGATGTGGATGCCGGTGACGTCATCAGTGATGATGACGATGACGATGTGGATGCCGGTGACGTCATCAGTGATGATGACGATGACGATGCGGATGCCGGTGACGTCATCAGTGATGACGATGACGATGTGGATGCCGGTGACGTCATCAGTGATGATGACGATGACGATGTGGATGCCGGTGACGTCATCAGTGATGTTGACGATGACGATGTGGATGCCGGTGACGTCATCAGTGACGATGACGCCATCGGGGGGTCACGCGACATCGGCGGGGGTCACGTGACCTCGAGGAGGGGGCCACGTGACCTCAGGGGAGTCACGTGACTTCGGGGGGTCACGTGACCCCCCACGAGGTCACGTGACCTTGGTGGGGGGCTCGCGCGGTGCATTATGGGACATTTCCCATGATGCACCGCGCGGTTACGCCGACGGCGACGGCGACGGCGACGGCGACGCCGACGCCGACGGCGACGCCGCTCAAGCCAGAAACGGGCCCCTAAGAGCTGCGCTCTAAAAGTGAAGGCCGTTTACAACTCTCTGTAACGCCGGATTAGAGCGCAGCTCTCGAGGAGGGGGAGGGGAAGGGTACCTCCCTCCTCCTCAACTCGTCATCCTGTGTGCTACTCCTCCCTCCGAGCGGCGTCGCCGTCGTTTCACGAGGGTCACGGGACGTCAGGGGGTCGCGTGACCTCACGGGGGTCACGTGACGATGACGTCATCAATGACGTCATTAGTGACGTCACTGATGACGTCATCATCACTAGTGACGGCATCAGTGACGTCACTCATGATGTCATCAGTGACGATGACGTTTACATCATCAGTAACGATGCGGATGCCGATGTCCTCATCAGTGACGTCACAGATGACGTCATCAGGGACGATGACGATGAGGATGCCGATGACTTCATCAGTATCGTCACTGATGACGTCACTGATGACGTCATTGATGACGTCATCGTCACGTGACGTCACGCGTCCCATAAGACACCGCGCGGTTACGCAGACGGCGACACCGCTCAAGCCAGAAACGGGCGCCTAAGAGCTGCGCTCTACAATGTAACTGAAAGTTTCTATACTCCTTAGAAAAGCAGTTAAACTACAGTAACTTGAGTAGAGCAGTTGAACTACGTACAAGTCTGCCCTAAACCAACCTTGTCGTGACAAGCCGTAAGACCCCCTTTTGACAACGGTCCGAGGCTTGAAAGATATTTATGGTGTCAGAGTCCCAGAACCATTCCTCCTGCGCTGCTCTAAATGTAAAAAAAATATACTTTTTTTTTTTGCTGTGTGTGTGTGTCGCGGGGGGGGGGGGGGGGTTACATGGGCACATAACAATTCAGAGTTTATCGGATAAATTACAAAAATTTTACCGGCGGGTCTATTTCGGAGTTTTTCGGATTTATCCGAAAACGCGGAGTTCGAATTATGGCGCGCTACACATTCAGAGTGCATAAGCCAGTCCTCCACGTCCTCATAGGTCTCGCCATGGAAGGTGGTCGGGGTCCGCTGGACGACGGGCAGGTAGACGACGGCGGCGGCGGTCGGGGCCTGCGACGACTGGTGGTGCACCGTCTACCTCGTTGGCTCCTCAGTCTAAGTTGACAGAAGTCTGTATTCGGGGTGTAGGCCTTGGATATGGCGACTTAATTGGGCGTCGGTAGTGCCTTCGTTGGGTATTCATGGGATTGGTGTCGGACTTGCACAGCGGGCCCTCGGAGGGGTACGCTGCAGGGACATCCGTTGCCCCACACCTCCTCCAAAATGTCCCGAATGACGAGGTGACAAAACAAAATATAACCTAGGAAACTAAAACGTTTAATGGGGCGAACTTGTGCCCAAAACAAGAAGAAAACAAAAGATGACGACAGAGCGTCGCGGGCGTCAAAGTCGGCATAACAGCAGGATTGAACGCTGGGGCGATACTGACTCCGACTCGCCACGCGGTGCACCTTTTTTACCTGTGCGGGTTTCCGGAACATTCGCCGCGTTGAACATTCGTTACTTGGTAAGACAAGAAAGTTCTCGAACTTGCGAGAATGACAAGTAGAAAGAATAAATAATAGAACATTCCGCTACCTGGAATAACCCAGAATATCCGCGCGACAGTCAAGCGCGGTAACCATTCGGCCACGTACGCGCTCAGTCAGCGACTCGCGTGGCAATATATCGAAATTTAGCATCGTTATCTGATGAAAAGAAAAAATACTGAAACTAAAGCAATTGTACATTTACAGCGGCAGTAAAGGGCATAGTATTGAGTACGACCCAAATCACAAGGATGATCCTTGTTATTATATTCTGAAGAGACAAAATGCATGCTCGTTTTACAATAGCAATGCACAGGACCACCGTAAAAGTCGAGTGGTTGCTGTCCGCTTCACTTCGCATCACATAAGTCGCGTAGATACTAGAACCCATTGAACCGCTATCGCGCACTATACCAACTATATGCATCGAATGACCACTTGTGCGATGTAAGCATGGACGCTTTACAAGAGCTTCCAAACCGTCATTCCTGAACACGACGTAGGATTGTCAATCAAATTAAGGGTAACGTTTTTCTAGTGGCGTTTTTAGTGAAACAATTTCTCGCCTTGCCGGCGACGGACAAATAGTCACTTATTTATCAGCATAAGAATCAATCATAATAAGAAATTTTCAGAAACAAACTGAACGGGAGATACCATGCCGAGGTCTAGTGTCAATCTCTCGCACTATACGTGACATAAAGATCCGCAGATACTTCGTTATACCGACGATACTGGCGTTGCTGCTTCTTTGATTTACTCTACGCGGTACATTGACCTGCTTGACCTGCTTTTGTTTAGTCAGGCCTTGATTTTTCTGCCTGGCAG